TTTTTGGATGTGCGTGTTATCCTAATTTTTCTGCATCCTCTTCAAATAAACTTTCCCCTCCTCTGTTCAATGTGTCTTTCTTAGCTATGCGTCCGGTTTTAAAGGTTATCGTTGTTTTGAACCCAAGTCTGGCAAAGTCTTTGTTAGTAGACATGTCCGTTTTCATGAAAATATTTTTCCATTTACCACATTGTCTTCCTCTACGGGTCATGCTTCCACATCCTCGCTTCCTATCTTTGATGACTTTACTCTTCCCAACACCACCTCCACTAACGGTATTCCCAATTCAGTTCATTCACCCCACCTAGCCTCCCCGGTAACATATAGCGCACCTGTGTCCTGCCAAACACCGCCAGTAAACTCTCATCCACCACCTTCTTCGCCTATAGCGTCACACCGCACCCCTAGCCCATCCCCTGTCCCTCCGGAATCCTCCCAGCTAGACACTCATCTTACTGCCTCTTCCGATTTCTCCCTTACTCCATCCCCTGCACCTCCCTTATCCACGGCAATTGTGTCATCGACCACTGCTCCTCGTGCACCACTCATTAACAATCACCCAATGCAAACCAGGGCGAAATCGGGAATTTTTAAACCCAAAACCATTTTCAACTTAAACACGGTTGTTTTATCAGCTGATCCTACTTGTTTTTCTGAGGCTACTAAACAGTTAAAATGGCGCGAGGCCATGGCTGAGGAATTTAATGCTCTGATTTCTAATAAAACTTGGGATTTAGTTCCGTTTGATAACACTAAAAATGTTGTGGGCTCTAAGTGGATTTATAAGACCAAGTATAATTCAGATGGTTCCATTGAGCGCCACAAAGCTCGTTTGGTTGCTCAGGGGTTTAATCAACAGGCAGGTGTAGATTTCTCTGAAACTTTTAGTCATGTCATAAAACCCACTACTGTTTGTATTGTTCTTTCCTTTGCCATTTCTTTGGGGTGGGTCATTCGTCAATTGGATGTCAAAAATGCGTTTTTACATGGTCACCTTACTGAGGAAGTCTATATGCGTCAGCCGCGGGGTTTTATACATCCTTTATTTCCTAATCATTTATGCAGATTGCGAAAAGCCATTTATGGTCTTAAGCAAGCCCCGCGGGCATGGTTTCACCGTTTTAGTAGTTTTTTATTGTCCCATCATTTTTCATGCAGCAAGTCTGATAATTCCTTATTCATTTATCGCCATAATAATACTGTCATTTATCTATTATTATATGTAGATGACATAATTATCACTGGCAATTCTACTGCTGCAATCACATCTTTTATTCAGCTTGTTGCTAAGTATTTTGCCATGAAAGATCTCGGTGATCTTCATTATTTTTTGGGAGTTCAGGCAGTGCGTTCCACTAAAGGTTTATTTCTTTCTCAGCATAAATATGTGTCTGATCTACTTTCTCGTTTTCATCTTCACACTATTAAATATGTTCGTACGCCCCTTGTTACTCGCACGTCTGTATCCCTCACTGATGGGGAACTCCTTGCAGATGCCACTGAGTATCGTAGTATGGTTGGTGCATTACAATATTTAACTTTGACACGACCTGATATTACCTATGATGTGCATTTAGTATCTCAATTTATGCATGCCCCTCGTACTACTCATCTGTTTGCAGTCAAGCGTATTTTTAGGTACTTGCAAGGGACTTTGGATCATGGATTGTGGCTTCAGCCGACTACTCGAGCCACATGTATTTTTGCATATTCTGATGATGATTGGGCTGGTTGTCTTGATACATCTCGCTCCACGACAGGTTTTGCCGTATTCTTAGGTCCCAATCTTGTTTCGTGGAAGTCCAAAAAGCAGCCTACAGTTTCCAAGTCATCAACAGATGCCGAGTATAGAGCAGTTGCCTACACTGTCCAGGACACATTGCATATTCGTTCCGTACTGTTTGAACTTGGTTTTCCAGTTCACGTTCCTGTCCAACTTTTTTGTGATAACATCTCTGCTTCATATTTGACTGCAAATCCTGTTCAGCATGCTCGCAGCAAGCACATCCAGATTGATTATCATTTTGTCAGAGAGCGTGTTGCTCATGGAGACTTAGTTGTGAAGTACATTCCTACACAGTTACAGTTGGCTGATATTTTTACTAAAAGCCTTTTTAGTCAGCAATTTTATTTTTTAAAAGACAACCTGCGCGTTATATCTCTCGCACAGTTTGAGGGGGTGTAATAGAATATTTAGGATACTTATTTCCTTGTATATCTCAAACTCTTTTATATAAATATATCTGTCAGGACTCCTAATGGAGGACCCTTTTCCCAAATTCTCACAGTTCGGCCATCATAGTGAAATAAAAGAATGGTAAAATTGCGTGAAAACTACAGCATAAAGATGCATGGTAAGATAGAAGATCCAACTGCTAGAACAACAGAGAAAAAGAATTTGCCTTTTTAAGAAACTATAGAAAATAGGAGTAAAACATGAATATATGGCAGTATCTATATTTTGTGGTAAAATATGGCTGAAAAAGTTAAAAGTTATTCTTTTAGGAATGAATTGGTCTTATTTTCACGAAAAAAACAATGATTGTATTACTTAAATAAATGTGTTGTGTCATTTGTGTCTTAATCCCAATAATGAAATTTTCCCTTACTTTTTTCACAGCAGCATCAATAATTTTTCGCTGATTATAGCCAACAGTGAATGTTACCAAATACTTCGGTATACTGGTTAGGTCCTGCAGTAAAAAAGTGAACAGTCATGAGCAAAATATTACATGAACTATTGACATGTTTTCTTTACACATTCTTGAAATCAGAAAGATGTTTTCCTTACACAACTTGAAAGCAGAAAGTTTTTATAAGTAAGGATAACCAATATACATAAACCCGAATGCATTGAAGCATGAATCTTATTATTAAGTTAGGAACCGTTTAAGAAAGGGGAAGCAAGTGAAGCTGTGGTATTAATAGAATGACTTGCCTCGCTGGGTTTAGCCCATAACCTGTGGAGAAGGAAGTCTGACTCAGACACGACGATATTTGGAGGTAATCTTTCTGCTCCTCTTGGGTTTGATGTAACCCAAATCTGATCAATGAAAGCATGATCTAATACTAATAATAATGATTTATGGTAACAAATCAAGTTGCTGCAGCTTAAATATACATAAAGGGTCAACTGTTTCACCTTGCAGGTTTACTTGTGAATGCAGAAGACTGTATGTTGTCTATAAAAGTAACTTCCAAACAGATTTCACAAAAATGAAAGAGAAACCCACACTTACAGTCCCCCATTTGGAAACCACACTTTGTAGTCCCCTTATTTTTTGAAATAGTATAATCTAAGACACGACTTTCATTTTTTTATAATTTAGTCCCTCAATTGTTATAGTGTAGATACAACTAGCCAGATACAACTAGCCTCTACTGCTGAAATGCCATTTGCACCAGAGAAGGATTTATGTGGGCATTCTCAACATTCATACTATATTGCCTCTTAAACTTAAATAATAAATGGTGATTTTAACAAGAAAGATCAATTGCATCTCAGTTATACCAAATGAGGGACTATGTTTACAAAATATGAAAGAAAACTCCAAAATAAAACGTACATATATATCATAAAGTTAGCATCTCAAAGTATTAGTTCCAAAAAAAATAATTGAAGGACTGTAGATGAAGTTTTGAACAATTGAAAAGTATCACCAGGCTGATGCAACTTGAAAGCACATAAATTAACTCAAAAGTGCTCATATCAACAGAAAGGATGAACCTTTGTACGATCAGTGAGGTTTTGATTGACTGTTGAGTAGCTAATCTCACTGGTAGAGTTCACCTTCTTTCCACTTTCGTTGTTAACAATACTTTCTGTACCATTAAGCTGCAAATGCTGCAAAAAAATATATGCTAATTGAAGATGACTGTGGTGCTAATAAGGGGTCAAGAGGAAGGATAACACAACCTTACCTTTACAGATGAGGGTGAATGAAATGACACTCCAATCAAGAACCCAAAAATGGCTCCAGAAAAGATTGTGACTATAAGCCTGTTCTTTTCATTTGATTGTTTAGAATTTGCACTATATTTAAATAAAGTTACACAAGTTTAGTCACAGTTGTGCAAGGAAAGAGTTCAGTCACAAACAGAGTTCATTAAAACGTACCAACGACCAAAACTCTTCATCTTATAGGTACTGTCTGATACCATAAGCTTGAGAAGTGTATCTTTAGGAGCTACTATGCGCCAAACGTATCTGATGCAAACAAGTCATTCTCTAACAAGGGAAAATTACCCAGGAGTCGAATGAGAACCTTAAATTCAAAGCAAAAGAAGAGAGTTTGGCTAGGCACGTTTTTATGAACACTGAAAATGCTTGTAGCCCGAATATGAAACACAAAGAAAGTGCAACTTTATAAGCTCTACTTCTTTCACTAAATTATGAAACACAATCAGCTTACTAAAAACATTTCAACTATTACTCTTCAGACTTCAAATAACCTTCTTACAAATTAAATCATAAAACTCCTTGGTAAAACCGCAACAATATGCTATCCATATGAAAATTTCGACACAATATGTTCCTTATGTCTTAAGAAAGAGGCATGTTTGAAAATATGTCCCAAAAAAGAGTCATCTTTCATCAAACAAACTATTTTCCCATGTAATCTACCCAAAAACGTGTTACAAACAAGTTATTTAATGCGGACTTCTGTTAACCCATTGAATATATTTTACAAATATCAGTATAGTATCATGAACATTTATATTCTAACAGTTATATTGCCAGTATTAAGAAAGGTTAAATTTTTAAATGCTTAAAAAGTACTCTACTCCATATATCTTTACTAAATGCAAAGAGGAAGGTACCAGAATATCAGTCATTAAAATCAAGATTTCCAGAAATAGATACTCCTGGGTATAATACGAGGCTATATATCATTCAAAGATTGAATTCTGAATATATAACGAAAGCACCCAATGCGGGAAAACGTTCTACTAAAGGTGAGTTTTGCTTACCTGAGAGCATGAGTATAATCTGTATGCAGATTGAAGAGAGAGGAACTTGTGAATGGAAGAAAGAAAATCGTCAGGCATTGGAAAAAGAACAAAGGCGCTTGAGTTGATGGAGGCGAGAACGGAGGAAGCCGTCACAATTGTTGTCGTCTGCTTTTTTACCTTGTACATCCTTTTTGCTTTTAAGTCTGCATTGAAGATTGCAGCGCCTTTGACTATGAATCTACTGAAGATCCAGGAAAAATGCTACTCCTTATTTGTAAACTTTTTTTGACAGAATGTTTTTTCTTTTTAAGAACATAGTTGTTTTTTATAGCGACAAATTTTTCTGTTTGTGAAAAAAATGTCATATGGAAAATAATTTTCTTCACAAATGAAAAATTGTTTGTACACAAATAACCTGAAAGACATGTTAGACATGTGTTCATTATATTGGTTACAACTCCGATACTCATTTAAAAAATGAGGTATTATATCTATCATTGACTTAATTGATCCACATTATTACATCATTTTTAATTTAGATTCAATTAAGGAATACACATACACAAATTGCAAATCCATTACATTACGCCATTACATTGTGCCATAACAACCAAGTTCTTAATAAGTAAACAAAGCAACATCGTGCCATACATGTTCTGGCATTCAAATCCATTACATTACTAAGAAATTTAAAAACACTACACATGACCTTCATAAACACAATTCTAACATTGTGTTCCAAGCTTACATCCTCAAATACACATTACCTACTAAAGCAAGAAGTATGTAAGGAATAATTGTAATTAGATTTTGATGATGCTAGATTAATTAGGATCTTAGAGTACCCCTTTAGAAATTATGTATTAGAATTTTCCTTTGTAAAGTTCTTAGATGTATTCGACTTGACAGAAGACCTTCAAGAGCAGAAGGACTTCAAGAGCAGAAGTGCCTCTTAAGACATTATTGAAACAGAGGACCTTTGGTTCTCTGCTCCAGAACAGAAGTCCTCAGGATCTCTGTTAGTCTTGACTCTGACAGAACCCCTTCTGGGTCTCTGTTGGATACTCCCAACAGAAGTGCTCCAGGCCTCCTCTGTTCTACTCTCAGACAAAGACACCAGAAGGTCTGACACTTAGAAGATTTTCAAAGAACCGGGAAGTCAACTAAAAGATTCCTTCAACGGCTAGGAGTATGAAACGGAAAAGCTACAGTGCATGCATTAAATGCTCATTTAATGCACCCCATGCTACGTAGAGTAATTGCAGATGATTGGCCGCAATGTCAGGAATACTTTATCCCAAAATAGTAACCCGCCAACTTTATCGGGCTCTACTAGTCAAGTCAACTGATCGCGCATTAAATGCAGTTGTTCTCCTACTCCTCCAACGGGAAGACAACCTCAGTATAAAAGATACACTACGAAGAACAACCGGAGAACTTGGATATAACTTTGCCAAGATTACATTGCAATTTTTGCTAACCACAAGCAAGATATTCAAACTCTGAAAAGCAAAAAGCCTCCTTGAGATTCAAACTCATTATCCTCTACAAGAGAAGGCAGAAGTTGGAAAAATACTCTTTCCAACTCAAGCAAAGTTCCAAGTGTTCTTCAACTCTTCAAGCTCATCACATACAAATCTTTTGTAACGAAGCTAGTTGGAGGAACCCCTGTTTCAACAGAAACTCTTCTTGCTACAAGGAGGACGTCCAAATAACTGGAGTAGTGAAGTGGTGATACTTCAAGGAAACTCAGTGAAAGGACCAGTGTTAAAGGAAGCCAGGCAGTGCATCCCAGGACACATCTAGGCTTGAAGAAGACGTGGAGTGCTTCTTAAGTACTAGGACTAAGGCTTTGTAAACGGCATTTTTTACAGCTTAGTGGAACAGTGGATTAGAGGAACGAGTTGTTCCTTGAACCACTATAAAAATCCCTGGTGTCGTTTACTTACTGCTTTTAATACTTGCACTTAGTTAGAACTGTATAACTCCTTGGACTTGGTATCTGTGTTCAGCAGAACTTGTTCTACGAGTTAACAGAAGGCATACTGCCTATTGCTTCTCTGAGGCTAACAGAACTCCCTACCAGAACCCCATCCGCTGCCAGTCTGTTCTTTCAACAGAACAGGCTATTCTGTAAATCTGGTACTTAGTCTAAAAAGCTAAAAACCAATACAGTCTATTCACCCCCCCCCCCCCCCTCTAGAATGTGTCCAGTATAACCGGGACCAACAAGTGGTATCAGAGCCTCCTTGTTCTAATAATCTTTTAGGTTATTTGTTGAACAAAGATCCACTTGTTTTTCTGTTTAACCTCATTTCTATCTGATATAATGGATCACTCCTTGTCCAAGAATCTTATGTTTTCAGATCTTAAGTTTGATGAGTGGAGGATCCGGATGAAAGCACATCTCTGTGCCCTGCATGATGAAATGTGGGAAGTTCTTGACATTGGCCCCTTCACTAGCTTCCAGAAGGTCAATCCTGAACATGCCATAGACAACACCAAACCCCAGATGATTAGTAAAGCCAAGTCAGAATGGACCACTGAAGAGAGGAGAAAGTACAACCTAGACAATATTGCCAAGGACATCCTCTACAAGTCCATTGATGATAGGTACTTCAACAGAATCAAGAAGTGCAAGACTGCTAAGGAAATCTGGGATACTCTTGAGCTCATTGGAGCTGGTGATGAGCAAGAGAAGGACAACAAACTAACCATAGCCAACAAGAAATCTGATGACTTCAAACTTCTCCCTGGTGAAAGCATCTCCAAGATGTATGACAGGCTCCTCACTCTCACTGGAGAGATCTCTGAGCTTGGTAAGGATCTCACAACCAAGGAGATCAACCTGAAGGTGTTGAGGGGACTGCCCTCAGCATGGAAGATGAAGGTAGTTGCTGTCCAAGCCAGCAAGGATGTAAAGACTTATCCCACTGATAAGCTCATTTCAGATCTCAAAGCTCATGAGTTTGAAATGATTGAAGAGAAGGAAGATGTACCAGAAGAGAGGACCACTACAGCCCTCACTGCCAGCACATCTAAGGTAAATGATTTTGACCCTTCAGTACTTTTATCTGATGAATATGTGGCTGCCTTTGCCAGGAGATTCAAAAAGTTTATGAAGAATCCCAAAGATGGAAGGAGTCCATCCTTCAACAGAAAGCCATACCAGAAGGTCAAATCAACAGAAAGCAGTGGAGAGCTTCTGTGTTACAACTGCAGACAACCTGGCCACTTCAAGGGTGACTGTCCCCATCCTAGAGTGTCCAAGAAGCAAGGACAGGATGGAGAAAAGAAGAAGTACGAGGACAACTCCAGAAGAAGGAAGGCACTTGTGACAGAACAGCTGGAGAAAGACCCTCTGTCAGAAACAGAATCCAGTTCTGACTCAGATTCTGATGAGGCCTTCTGTTGCCTTGATACTGAGACAGAAGACCTTTGCCTCATGGCTCATTCTGATGATGAGGTAACCTCTACTTCTGAATCTAATTTTTCTTCGGTAGGGTTAGCTTTTGATTCTGATTCAATGTCAGAATTTTGGGAAGAGTTTAAGGCCATACAAGCCGCTTATTCTTCTGTAACAGAAGAAAACAGTAAGTTGAAAGCTGAAATTCTTGACTTAAAGAAGGAGGTTGAGATCAAAATCAATCTTCTAATTGAGGAAAGAGATCAACTGGAGACTGAAAATGTTTCTCTTCTTAAGAGAATAAGAGAAATAGAGCCTCTCGAGATTAAGTACAAAGCTTACCAGAAGGCCCAGTCTTCCATGGAAAAGATTGTGCTTGATCAACAGATTGGCACTGGTTTTGGTCTTGGTTATGGCTCAACAGAATCAGGTGAGCCTTCTGTAATGCCTAGCACCAGAGTTGCTAAGGCAGATAAGGTCATAGAGCCACTGATTTCTAGCCCCATCTGTCAAGCTGGTGTATCTGGCACCAAGGTTGTTCATGAGGAAGTCAGACCAGAAAAAGGCAAGATAAAGGTTCAACAGAAACCCTTTTTGAAAAATAATGAACCTGGCAGAAAACCTAACAACAGAAGAGGTTTTCAAAATAACAAAAATAAAAGACCATTCATTGACAGACAACCTCATGTCAATCGTGCCAGAAATGATCACCAGAAGGGCAAATATCAAGAGAAAGTTAACCTCAGGCAGAAGAGGTTGGCTGGTCAACTTCAGAAGCCCAAGGTTAACCGTCCCTCTGCTCTTGATAGTATATGGGACTTCTTTCCAACAATGAAAGCTATGCAAAAGTATGTAAACAGGAAGCATGACCCTCACAAGCATCTGCCCAAAGTGAATCACACTTCAGTTTACTATAACTACCAGGTGGACAATGGGTACCACCCACCAAGGTTTCACTTGATGAGACCAAAATGGTACCAACTACCCAGACTCCATGACCCCCCAGGACCCAGCATTGCTTGGGTACCTAAATCTTTCTTTTGATGTTGCAGGAACTGTGTGCTGGAGCCATCTCTGAACAAGAATGGTTTATTGATAGTGGATGCTCCAGGCACATGACAGGTGACAGAAGTTGCCTAACAGAGTTCCAGAAATGCAAAGGACCTAGAGTTACCTTTGGAGGTAATGACAAAGAAGGTCAAACAAAAGGAAGAGGAAAGCTGATCAGGAACCAGATAATCATTGATGATGTCTCATATGTCAAAGGACTGAAGTTCAACTTGCTAAGTGCTAGCCAATTCTGTGACAAAGGCTACACTGTTGAATTCACAAAGGACTTCTGCTATGTGAAGCATGAGACAACAAAGGAAGTGGTTCTTACAGCATCAAGGAAGAAGAACATCTATGTAGTTGATTGGAACACTGCAAAAGATGGAGTTTGCCTGATAGCCAAGGGAGATTCAAAACTGAGCTGGGACTGGCACAAAAAGCTCAACCATTTGAATTTCAAAACAATCAACAAACTGGCCAGAGAACACATTGTAGAAGGGCTACCAGACATTGTGTACAAGAAGGAGACCCTCTGCAGTGCATGTCAGAGAGGCAAACAAGTGAAAAATTCCTTCAAACCCATTGCTGGAGATCTTTCTACAAGTCCTCTAAATCTGATTCACATGGATTTATTTGGACCTGTTGAGACTCCAAGCGTTGGTGGCAAGAAATATACCTTAGTCATGGTTGATGACTACTCCAGATATACATGGACTGTTTTTCTATCAAAGAAAAATGAAACTCTTCAGAAGTTGCCATCTCTATTAAAGCAACTTCAGACTGAGAAGAACTTGAAAGTGAAGACAATCAGATCAGATAGAGGAACTGAATTTGTCAACCAAGTCATAAAGGACTTCTGTGATCAGAATGGAACTTTTCATCAACTTTCTGCCGCCAGAACCCCTCAACAGAATGGCGTAGCAGAAAGAAGGAACAGAACTTTAAAAGAAGCTGCAAGAACAATGATTGCAGAATCTGGATTGCCTATAAGATATTGGGCTGAAGC